CCAGGTGAGACGCTCCAAGGTGAGACGCTCCAAGGTGAGACGTTCCGAGGTGAGACGCTCCCAGGTGAGACGTGCCCAGGTGGGACGACGACGCGCCCAGGTGCGACGCGCACGCCAGGCCCCCGAACAGGTGGGACGGCTGCAGAGCCAGGTGCGAGGAGGCGGCGGCGGCGGCGGCGGCCGCAGCGGCGGCAGCAGCGACCGCGGCAGCAGAGGAGGCCGGCGATGATGAGGATGAGGAGGTCGGGGACCCGATGTGACAGCCCGGGACACCGAGAGCTGATGAGCCGGAAGCTGAAGAGACGATTGCCTGCTGGTGCTGCTGGTGCTGCTGCTGCTGCTGCTGCAGGTGCTGCTGGTGGTGGTGATGGTGGTGGTGGTGATGGTGGACCCACGGGTAGGTGAACTGCGCGGGAGGAGAGACCGGGGCGGCCCCACTGACCAGGTTGAGCTTGTGGAAGCTGGAGGCGAAGTGGAGCGGGGTGAGCGCGGACTGGAGTTTGTAGGCGGTGGGGTCCGGAACCGGAGCCTGGCACGCCTGAGCCAAGCCCTGCACAGGCACACAGAGTCCAGGCGGTCGTCAACTTACGAACGCACATTCTTACGAACACCCCCACTTACGAACATCCCCACTTACGAACACCCTCACTTACGAACACCCTCACTTATGAACGCCCATAGTTACGAACACCCACACTTACGAACACTCACACTTACGAACACCCACACTTACGAACACCCTCACTTACGAACACTCACACTTACGAACACCCCCACTTACGAACACCCTCACTTACGAACACCCTCACTTACGAACACCCATAGTTACGAACACCCATAGCTACGAACACCCACACTTACGAACACCCACACTTACGAACACCCTCACTTATGAACACCCATAGTTACGAACACCCATAGTTACGAATACCCATAGCTACGAACACCCATAGCTACGAACACCCTCACTTACGAACACCCCCACTTACGAACACCCTCACTTACGAACACCCTCACTCACGAACACCCACACTTACGAACACTCACACTTACGAACACCCTCACTTACGAACACCCTCACTCACGAACACCCACACTTATGAACACTCACACTTATGAATACCCGCACTTACAAACACCCCCACTTACGAACACCCACACTTACGAACACCCACACTTACGAACACCCTCACTTACGAACACCCTCACTTACAAACACCCACACTTACGAACACGCCCACTTACGAGCACCCTCACTTACGAACACCCTCACTTACGAACACCCTCACTTACAAACACCCATAGTTACGAACACCCATAGCTACGAACACCCACACTTACGAACACCCACACTTACGAACACCCTCACTTATGAACACCCATAGTTACGAACACCCATAGTTACGAACACCCATAGCTACGAACACCCATAGCTACGAACACCCTCACTTACGAACACCCACACTTACGAACACCCTCACTTACGAACACTCACACTTACGAACACCCTCACTTACGAACACCCTCACTTACGAACACCCTCACTTACGAACACCCATAGCTACGAACACCCATAGCTAGGAACACCCATAGCTACGAACACCTTCACTTACGAACACCCTCACTTACGAACACCCATAGCTACAAACACCCATAGTTACGAACACCCATAGCTACGAACACCCACACTTACGAACACCCTCACCTACGAACACCCATAGCTACGAACACCCCCACTTACGAACACCCCCACTTACGAACACCCTCACTTACGAACACCCACACTTACGAACACTCACACTTACGAACACCCTCACTTACGAACACCCTCACTTACGAACACCCTCACTTACGAACACCCATAGCTACGAACACCCATAGCTACGAACACCCACACTTACGAACACCCACACTTACGAACACCCTCACTTACGAACACCCTCACTTACGAACACCCTCACTTACGAACACCCATAGCTACGAACACCCATAGCTACGAACACCCACACTTACGAACACCCACACTTACGAACACCCTCACTTACGAGCACCCTCACTTACGAACACCCATAGCTACGAACACCCATAGCTACGAACACCCACACTTACGAACACCCTCACTTACGAACACCCATAGCTACAAACACCCATAGCTACGAACACCCACACTTACGAACACCCTCACTTACGAACACCCATAGCTACGAACACCCATAGCTACGAACACCCACACTTACGAACACCCTCACTTACGAACACCCATAGCTACGAACACCCATAGCTACGAACACCCACACTTACGAACACCCTCACTTACGAACACCCCCACTTACGAACCATGAAATGTTTCAACGTTGACTTAAAACGCGAACTCGCACTTTTGCCTGGGCCTCCAACTCTGGATCGCCTCTCAGACCCCCTCGGCAGAATGCACGTCACGCACAGTGGGTGGCTACTTCCTCATTTCTCGAGGCTCCACAGCCCTAGCTGCAGGTTCCACCTCGCCCCCGTGGTGTTATAGGGGCGAGGTGCTGTTAGACAACCCGGAAAAAAAGACGCTTCATAGCTCATCGGATTCCTCAAGTATCAATACACATTTCTGAAGCTGATCGGTGAAAAATAAAGTGCTTGGTCGGCTCGTTGACCGCTTGTGTTGCGATCGAAACGTCGTAGTTTTTTGTTACTTTTGTTATTTTCTTTTAACCTATCCACGTGGCTTTTACCGAAAGACCCAACAATGTGAATTCCTGCAGTCACGAAAGCGTTAAGTCAACAATTTTCAATATGACAGGACTCCTGCTCACACAATCAGCACGGCGTGCAATAGTCAGCGCTCGCCACGAGGGGGCAGCAGTGTATTAACACAAAGATCCCCCATATAGCCTTAAAAGACTGTAGGGGCAAGTGCTGTTAGCGAGCACCTATGAAGGCCGTAACGGTACACGAAGGGGTGGGTGGCCAGCACCACACTCGACCGCCTTTTCCTCCCAAGTACTTTTATTAATTTTAATTTATTTTTTTACCTACGTGACTTTACCGGAAAAAAAGAGTACATTTCTCCGATTTCCCCCAAATACCGCTCACCTGGAAGTCGAAGCGGTAGGCGTAGCGCTTGCCGTGCACCTTGCTCATGATGTTTTTGTCGTAGTAGTAGCGCAGAGCGCGGCTCAGCTTGTCGTAGTTCATGTTGGGCTTGGCCTTGCGCGCTCCCCAATGGCGCGCCACTTCATCGGGGTCAGTGAGCTTGAACTTGCCGCGCGTGCCCTCCCACGTGATGCAGTGCGCGTTAGCCGCGTCCGACAGCAGCTCCAGCAGGAACTGCCACAGCTGGATCTGCCCGCTGCCTGCGGACAGGTAAGGTGTGTGTGTGTGTGTGTACAGGTGTGTGTGTATGTGTGTGTGTGTACAGGTGTGTGTGTGTACAGGTGTGTGTGTGCAGGTGTGTGTACAGGTGTGTGTGTGCAGGTGTGTGTACAGGTGTGTGTGTACAGGTGTGTGTGTGTACAGGTATGTGTGTGTACAGGTGTGTGTGTGTGTACAGGTGTGTGTGTGCAGGTGTGTGTGTGCAGGTGTGGGGAGCGATAGTGTAGCGGTTAGCGCGCTGCGCTATGAACCTAGCGACCCGGGTTCGATTCCCGCTCACGGCCAACACCAGTGACGATTATCTGAACCGGTCCTGGGCCTCCCCTAGGTCGACTCAGCCTGAAATAAGTACCTGGTGTGGTGTGTAAACATCGCCACTGGGGAGAAAAAGGCGGTCGGGCGTGGTGCTGGCCACCCCACCCCCTCGTGTGCCGTGCCGGCCTTCATAGGTGCTCGCTAACAGCACTTGCCCAACAGTCTCTTAAGGCTATACTGGGGGATCTTTGTCTTTGTATAAGTAGAATACAAGGGTGTGCACAGGTGTGTGTATGGGTGTAATGAGCGGCATTATCAGCTGTGTGGAACCTCACCAATCGCTCCACACGAAGCTCCGGGTCTTCTTGGCCACAATCATACCCTCCCTTCCAACGGGACATCTGCGCCGATTTGAAACATTAAGGCTGGCCGGCTCTACGATCCATCCTGGGTTGAACCAGACTGGATTGGTGTGAGGAGCTAAAAAAAACGTCTCAAGATCTGGACATTGTTCACTTCTGCGAGCTCCTCCGGCAGGCGAGGCTGCGTTGGTTGGGTCACGGAGCCCCCACGCCAAGCTCGCGAATACTCAAGTAGCTTCTATTTTTAGATTTGAAGTTTTCGTGGTTATTTCGGTAAAGTCACGTAGGTGAAAATCAAATCAAATAAGAATTAAAAATTAACTAAATCACGACGTTTCGGAGGCAACGCAAGCTTCCGTCATCAGGTGGAACAACCCCAGCAAAAAAAAAATTTCACTACAGTCATTTTTTTTTGCTGGGGTTTGTTCCACAAGCTTGTGTTGCCTCCGAAACGTCGTTATTTAGTTATTTTAATTTTATTTTCACCTACGTGACTTTACCGAAAGAACCAAAGAGTATAGCTTCTTCTTCTTGGTTCTTTCGGTAAAGTCACGTAGAAGGGAAATAACAAAATAATAAAATAAAACATAATAAAACAATAATAAAAATAAAACATAATAAAATAGTTTTATTATGTTGAATTTTTTATTATTTTATTATTTCCCTTCTACGTGACTTTACCGAAAGAACCAAGAAGATGAATCCCTGCCGTCACGAAAGCTTTAAATCGAAAAGTATAGCTTCTATTTGGCAGGAGAGCGGAGGCTAAACGGACGCGGCACGGGCTGGAGAAGAGATGGAGCCTCACGTGGTACAGGAGGATGTGGAGCTCAGTGGACTTGCCCTAGACTGGCGGAGAGCTCGTGAAGGACGCTGCTGGGCATTTGGAGGCAGTCGCCCTCCAACAACAGCAGAGGAGCGATGCTCACAACAACGAGCGGAGCGCAGGGTGGATAAAATTCAGCACTTTGGCATAGTAGCGAGCAATGGCTGGTGCATCTACCGGTCATCTCAGTCGGTCAACCCATGGCACCTGGGTCTGTCCCGTGACCTCCTGCCAACAGCGAGCCTTCGACACTTCACGTGGCCTCAATGTGCACCTAGCCTGGCACGGCGCCGTGGTGACGTCGCCAGCACTTAGCGAACGCCGGCTGGTTTTGTCGTTCTGTTGATGTCGGTGTGTTGGTGTCTGTTGTGTTGATGTGTGTTTGTGTCTGTTGTGTTGATTTGTGTTTGTGTGTGTCTGTTTGTGTTGGTGTGTGTTGGTGTTGATGTGTTGGTGTGTCGGTTTGTGTTGATGTGTGTTAACGTGTTGGTGTGTCGGTGGTTTGTGTTGATGTGTCGGTTTGTGTTGATGTGTGTTGATGTGCCGGTTTGTGTTGATGTGTGTTGATGTGGTTGTTGATGTGCTGTGTTGATGTGTTGTGTTGATGTGTTGTGTTGATGTGTTGTGTTGATGTTGTGTTGATGTGTTGTGTTGATGTGTAGTTTTGATGTGTTGTGTTGATGTGTTGTGTTGATGTGTTGTGTTGCTCACCTTTGTGGTGGGGGTGCGTGGCCCCCACCCCCCACCCAGAACCGTCCCGGACCTGGTGCCCCCCCTCGTACTTGGGCTCTGAGACGCAATCACAGACAAAGACAAAGATCCCCCGTGTAGCCTTAACAGACTGTTGGGGCAAGTGCTGTTAGCGAGAATCAGAACGGCACACGAGGGGGTGGGTGGCCAGCACCACGTCCGGCCGCCTTTGTCTCCCCAGTGGCGATGTTTACACACCGCACTGGTACTCATTTGAGGCTGAGTCGACCTAGGGGAGGCCCAGGACTGGTTCAGATAATCGTCACTGGGTGTTGGCCGTGAGCGGGAATCAAACTCGGGTCGCTAGGTTCGTAGCGCAGCGTGCTAACCACTACACCACCGCTCCCCACGCGTACATATCCACACACACACACGTGTGTATACTGTGTACATATATAACATTCACACATACGTGTGTGTGTATGTCAATACGCACACAAATATCCCCTCCGATGCGTTGCCTGGTTTTGCCCCGTGTTGTTCGGAACGATGTCCGACGTTTCGAACTAAATGCAGCATATTCTTAGGTTTTTGGTAAAGTCACGTAGGTAAAAAATTAAAATTAATAAAAGTAAAATAAAAATTAAAATAAAAAAAATCACGACGTTTCGGAGGCAACACAAGCTTCCGTCTTCAGTGCCTCCGAAACGTCGTGATTTTTTATTTATTTTTATTTTACTTTTATTAATTTTAATTTTTTACCGACGTGACTTTACCGAAAAAAACCTAAGAATATGAATCATTGCAGTCACGAAAGTTTCAAATCTAGAACTAAATGCAGCAGTTTAACACCCTTAGGCTTTCGCGAACAATACAAATTCATAATGAAGGTGTTTGGGTTAGAAAGCCTAAGTATAAATGTGTTGTAACCCTCCAACCACCCGACACAGACAATCAGTAAGGGCTTTGTCGCGTAAACAAAACGCAAAGTACAGGTAGTCTCCGGGGTTACGATGGTCCGACTTACGATATTTCGATCTTACGATGGCGATATCGATACGACAAAATTGCCATCAACAACCTAAACATCGTTCAAGTGTGCAGACGACGGACATAATCTTGGTGAGTAGAGTACAATATGATACGTTACGATACGTTAAATGCATGTATGATACGTAGCGTTAGCGATTTCATTTCAAGGTCACCACGATACGATACGTTCAATGCATTTTTAAAAGTTTTCATAGCAGATAGGATTGTTTCCTGAACAAAAACGTTCTATTAAATTGCAGTTCATATAGGTAGGCTAAGGATTTACCTTGTTTTTTTAACTTTACATTTTACAGTATTGCATTTCCCATGAATATGCTAAATTCATCTTGATATGCAAATTCTTTTGTCAAGGCGCTCTTCTTCCACCTCCAACCCAGCTTATATATAAGCTCCAAGCTTGGCAGTGTCTCATTCTTCACGTGAAGACGGCTGCTTGCGTTGTAGCCGAAACGTCGTGAGAATTATTTTATTATGTTTTATTATTTTATTATTTTATTACTTCCCTTCTACGTGACTTTACCGAAAGAACCAAGAAGAGTATATAGTTTATACAGTATGGTACTGTAAATTGCTCTGTTTTGCTAAAGTATCACCATTCTTTAAGACGCCTGGGTAGGCTAGGCCATCTTCGACTTACGATATTTTCGACTTACGATGGGGTCGTCGTAACACATCTCCATCGTAAGTAGAGGAATACCTGATTATTGTTTTTTTACCCTTTTATCTGGCAACAAAACTGACACCATTTTTACGAGGAGTCATGTTTGCATAGACCACAATACCTGCAGTCATAATGCAAACAAAAAACATAACTCTGATAATGTATGTGCACTGTCCTTGAAGTTGATTGGTCCACACCCGAGACAGCTTTTCTTAGAGCCTAGTCTCACATGGGTTGGACCAGATGACGCCAAAAGGCGCACAACTCAAAGACAATGCACCATCAGAGTATGAGAGCTCGGAGTAAGCATTTACACCATTGAAACCTCATTTGCCAGTAAAAAATATGATAATTGTTTTTTTACCCTTCTATTTGTCAACAAACTGACACCTTTTTTACAAGGAGTCATGTTTGCATAGACCACAATACCTGAAGTCATAATGCAAACAAAAAACATAACTCTGATAATGTATAGAATGCACCATCAGAGTATGAGAGCTCGGGGTAAGCATTTACAAACATGACTCGTAAAAAAGGTGTCAGTTTTGTTGCCAGATAAAAGGGTAAAAAAACAATTATCATATTTTTTACTGGCAAATGAGGTACCATTGGTAGAGGACTACCTGTTACTACTTCAACCCACCGGTGTGTTGCAGAGTGAATGTTGTGGATTTACTCTCCAACACATTTATACTTACGCGATCTAACCCAAGAAGCTTTATTATGAATAAACTCAGCAGCAGCAGCGCTAACATTTGTCCCTAGATTCTACAAAGGTTGCCGGCTTGCTGCTGGCGTTCGACGCTGGCCAGCCGATCTTATTTACTTACGAAGTCGGCAACTCTGAGTTCGACTCCCTGCAGACACGCCGAGCGCCTCGCAAAGCCCTTTGGCTGTGGGAGTTCGTTCATATGATCCGTCAACCCTTGCGTAGCGCGGTTTCCGATTCACCGCACGCCCATCCATCCGTCTTGTCTCTCGACATTGCGAGGAATCTATTGCTCTCAGCGAGCGCAGCGAAACGTCGGACATCATCATCCTCATTTCGCTCGCGCCCGGAGAAACCCCACGGCGTGCGAGGGGGCAACGCTCTATCCCAGGGGTCGGCGAAACTGCGGCTCAGGAGCCGTTTGCGGCT